CTCTCTCTCTCCTCTCTCTCTCTCTCTCTCTCTCTCTTTCTTTTTCTTTTGTTAATCCTCACCCAAGGATATTTTTACCATTGACTTTTTTGTGTGTTTTTGTTTGTTTTTATTTTGGTTAATCCTTATCTGAGGATTACTGGAGAGAGAGAGAGAGACATCGACGTGAGAGAGACACATCTACTGGTTGCCTCCTGCATGCGCCCCAACTAGGCTGGGGATCCAACCTGCAACCCAGGTATGTGCTCTTGCCCAGGAATCAAACCTGTGACTCTTCTGTGTACTGGTCAACACGCTAACCACTGAGCCACACTGGCCAGGGCTACACTGCTATTTCTTTAGGTATTATCTATTAACCGCACATCCTGAAAAATTATGATTTAATTTATACTGCTTCCCTTCCCTTCCCCAGGCCTTCCAGTTTTTGATAGTGTGGGGAGGAAAAACTTTCTTCTACCTTCTTGGGTTCTGTAGCTGGCCTAAGAATAAACTGACATAAGACAGAATAACAGGAGAAAAATATACAAATTTTATTTAATATCTTTACTTGTACAAGGGAGTATTCAAAAGGAAAATGAAGCCCTGGCTGGTGGGCTGGTGTGGCTAAGTTGGCTGGAATGTCATCCCATACACGGAAAGGTAGCAAGTTCAATTCCCAGTCAGGGCACATACCCGGGTTTGAGGTTCAATCCCCAGTCGGGGTGCATATAGGAGGCAACCAATCAATGTTTCAGTCTCATATTGATGTTTCTGTCTCTCTCCCTCTCCCTTCCTCTCTCTCCCTAAAATTAATGAAAACATATCCTCGGGTGAGGATTAAAAATAAAAAAGAAGAGTCATTTATTATACAAAAGGAAAATGAAGATCTGAAGAAGTTGTTAGGCCCAAAAGCTAATACACCTTTTTACAAAAAGAACAATAAATTATAGGGACCTGAGAAGACAAGGGGCTTGGGCTAGAAACAGTAAATTGTAAGAAAGTAACTAAGAAATACATGAGGGAAACTAATGAAAGATAAGGGTTATTTGAGTAGGTTTGTATTGGTCCATTTGGGCATTGATTCCCAGTCTCTGGTGGTAAGAGTACACGGAGTGCACCTTTGTCATGGGAAACTTTACAACCTGACTTGAGGTAGAGAGGGGAGGTCAGAGAGCCCTTCCTGCACCTGCTGTTTCTTAAGTGCCTTCCGCTCAAAATAATCAATATGCCAAAGTGGCATATTTTGGGGTGGAATGTTCTGAACCCCTTCTGTAGCTATATTATGTTCTTTAGTTCTTCTGTTAGTTACATTTGTAACTAAAGTAATAAACTTAAAACCTCAGGTTACTCATCCATCAATGTTGCGCAGTACTTGGACTTCTTACCATACAAGATAAGCATGATAGCGCCCATATAGGTAAGAGCATAGTGTTTCACTCTGGAGATCTGGGTAAACTTGAGCAAAAACAAGAACAAGAGATTTTATTTCCTACATTACCTCTCCTCCCCCTTTCCAACTCTCAACTTTTGTCCATTTTCCTTGTACATTGTTGAGATTGATTAGATTTCCATTCTTGTTCTGTAAACATATTTGTCATTTCTATTTTATCTATAAGTGGATTTTAAAGGCTGAAAAGCCAATTGACAGCATTTACAATATGATGATTATGTAAATATCATTTGCTGCAAATGACCACAACTTGTTTCTCAAAAGACCCAGCATTTTGATTCCTGTGTCACTTAAGGAGAATGGCAAATGGAATATTCTTTCTTACACTTATAAATTTCTCATAATCATGCTATATTTTATTTTGCATCATACCTGAGCCATGACTTTATTCTATTTTTGTTTCTGCTACACTTTGTAATTGCCTTTCTTTTTCTCTGATTAAGGAGAAGAAACCCCCCATCTCATTAATATCTTCCAACTTCTTATCCATTCTTATCTCTGCTGAACAGAGCCTTTGAAGCTGGTTTATTTTGTCTTTTCTTGAGACTCTGTAAATTGCTTAATTGGTAAATGTGGTTTATGTTAGAGTATATATAAAAATATATTCTTTAAAGGAGATTTTTAAAATTATATGAGCTCGGCCGGGCTTGGCTCAGGGTTGAGCGTCGACCTAGGATCCAGGCGATCGGGGTTAGATTCCCCGAGAGGGCACATGCCCGGGTTGCGGGCTAGCCGAACAGTGACTCTCATCATTGATGTTTCTATCTCTGTCTCTCCCTCTCCTTTCCTCTCTCTGAAATCAATAAAGATATATTTTAAAAAAATGAAATAAAATAAATAAAAATTATATGAGATAAACAGCAATGTTTTTATTTTATTTATTTTTTAAGTCCTCACCCAAGGATATATTTACTGATTTTTTTTGAGAGAGGAAGGGAGACAGAAAGAAGGAGAGGGAGAGAGAAAGAAAGAGAGAGAAACACTGACTGGCTGCCTCTTGTATGTGCCCCAACCAGGGGACTGAACCCACAACCTAGGCATGTGCTCTGACCAGGAATCAAACTCGTTGTGACCTTTAGGTGCATGGGACAACACTCTAACCAACTGAGTCACACCAGCCAGGGCTATTTTTGTTTTGTTTTTTAAATATTTAAAAATTTTTTTCAATTATAGTTGACATACCATATTATATTAGTTTCTGGTATGCAAAATAGTCATTAGACATTTAAGTAACTTACTAGGGAATCACCCCAATAAGTCTAGTAACCATCTGACACCATACATAATTATTACAATATTAGTGACTATATTCTCTATGCTGTAATATGCATTGCTGTGACCGATTTTATAACTGGCAATTTGCACATCTTAATCCCTTTCTCCTTTTCTCCCAACCCCCAACCCCCAACCCCTCTCCCATCTGGAAACCATCAAAATCTTCCCTGTATCTATGAGTTTGTTTCTATTTTGTTTGTTCGTTTATTTGGTTTTTAGATTCCACATACAAGTGCAATCATATGGCATTTATGTCTCTGTGTGACTTATTTCACTTAGCACAATACCCTCTAGGTTTATCTATAAACAACATTGTTTTTAAAAAAGAAGTACTCCCAGTCCACTTTGCAACTCTTCATTTTCAGCAATTGATTTTTTTTTTTTAAATTTTTAGCACAGTCATAGCAGGAAATTCACACTACTTCCCTGGCTTGGCTT